TGTATTGTGATTGTGTGTTTGCATGTAGGGAAGGGAGTTTCTTTTCCTTACTTGTATCGTTCTGGGTGTTCATCTCTTCTGGTGTTGAAATCCAGAGAAATTTTAGCATCCAGTCCAATTCCAAAGTAGTTGTTCATGACACATTTTTCTTTAAAACGTCTGAAATTAATCAAAGGAGAGGACAGACATTGGTGCAAGAAAGAAGTGCCACTATCATTGGGCATGAAGATGAATCTGCATGATGGAAAACCAGTGAGGGAAGGCCTCCTCCACACTGGGCACTAACTGTAACATTTTTTGAGAGGCATGTGCTGATATCTTTTTGTATAAACAACCAGCTTATTAGCTGTAGGAGGGAGTGCCTAGCTAGTTGGGAAGCTTCAGTAGGATTGTAACTCATAGTAAAGAAGCAACATTCATGATTTTGGTCATCATTGGAGGCCTCATATATGAGTGGCTCATGTTTTCTTCAAATATGAAGGGAAATAGAGTCATTGGCTTATTCCCATAAAGAACTTTTTAGTATTCTAGATACAAACATGCCATGACAGTTAAGTCTGTACCACTGCTCTCAGTAAAGTCTGACATCAAAGGGCAAAATGACCACATATTTGAAGGAGAAGACTGATAAAAGAGGGTAGATATGAACATAACAAAAAAGCCAAGCTATTTTTCAAGTCTCCTGTGTCTATCTAAGGTGTCAACATCAAAACCAGTGGTGTGCCATAGCCGGTTGGCACCAGCTCATGGAAACTGATTATGCATATCTATTTCCAGCTCCACTTTCAATGGCATTATATCAGTAACTTAAATAGGCCATGGTGGAACGGCTTACACCATAAATGAATCAGGGCTTTGTCCCCCAAGAGAGCAGGTCATTAAACACTTGCCAGTGCACTATTGATCAAAATTCATTTGGTAGATCCATGAGAGCTCAGACATAAACTTGAGCTAATGGTGAAGTGTGGGGGTGAGAATGCAGATTGGAGACAGGAATAAAAATAGTTTTCTTAAATAAACTATTTAAGAAAACATAAATAATTGCTAGCTGTATCATTTTGAGAAATTAAAATGGATACAGTTTAGCTGTTTAATCTTAGATTACCTTTTTATTCATTACTTAACTGACCCTACATCTCTCACATGAGATTTGCCTCCCTCAACCACGGTCCAGAGATTGGAATTTCTCTAACTAATGTCCAAACTGATCTTCTTAATGGAACTCAAAATGAGTGAGTGTGGCAGAACTTGGCTGCTGGGGATATTCTAAAGAGGTAGAACTGGTGAGACAGATGTCCTTAGATTTGCTGCCTAGTCCCCTAATGACCATTTAGTTTTTAGTATCTTCAACCATTTACTGGTAAGGGCAACAGTAAAAAAAAAAAAAAAAAAAAAAAAAAAAAAAAAAAAAAAAAAAAAAAAAGCAAGTACTCTGAAATAACAGCTAACATTTATTAATTGTTTATAATAATAATAACACTTAACTATGGATGCTGCCAAGCACTGCTCAGTGCAAGCACTTTTCATATATAAATGTAATAAATACGGCAAACCCATGATGCAAGTTCTACAATGGCCTTTATTTTACATATGAGAAAACTGACGTTCAAATTGGTTGAGTCACTTGTGTAGGTGACAAAGCTAGTAAGTAGAGAAAAGATTTGACTATGGATATCCTGAGATTGTGCTCTTAACAAGAGAAAGAAAAAAGCCATTAAATGGTGATAGAGTTAAATACTTACATAGTTTCAGGTGTAAAATGTAAGTGATCCAAGTTAAGGTTGTCTAGGTCCTCACTTTTGAGAGAAGATATAGAAGACAAAGTGCCACGACGAGAACCTAGACACAAAAGACATCACTTGGGTGTCAGATACAAACAGAAAAGCCCTTTCTCCTCACTTGTATTTCACCCTATTTTCTCTGTGGAGGCAGGGTCAAGCTCAATGACTTTCTCCTAGATAATATTCATGGTTCTCATTCCAAAGAGGGATTCTCCTGGATAGATAGGGACTTCCACTGAGAGAAAAGTAAAGCTGGGCTGCTTGCTTGCTGGCAGTGAAAACAGCTTCAAAACTTGTATTTCATCAGGCCAGCCTCTTCAATGTTTGTAATAGGATCATTACCCTGGACCTTGGCATGGGATCTTAAAGTGTGAGTTTCTGGCAGGGGGGTGGTATCTACTGCAGGATTATGGCTAAAAGAGGACACATGAAAAATGCATATTCTTTGGGAACTAAACAACAGTGATGAAGGCTAGAATAAGGGAAGGTGACACAAAGATCCTTACGACGTCGTGGACTTGTCTGGCTAATATCTTCTGGGTCATCTTCCAAGAAGAAAGTTGAACCAAAGTTCTTAACAGATATTGTCTGTCTGCTTTCCTCATCCAGAACTATAGAGAAAAGTGGGAGGAAGGAAGGCAAAAAAGAAAGGAGGAAGGGAGGGAGGGAGGAAGGAAGGAGGAAGGAAGGAGAGAGGGAGGATGGAAGGAAGGAAAGATTAATTACACTTATTGAACATTTATTGAGCATCTATTTTGCTTAGTTAATGGGTAGATGATGGAGACTCCCATTTGACCATTACATCTCCTCCATGATACTGTTTGCAGTCTCAGCTTACTTACAGTGTTTGTGTTTTCATATTTATGCCTGAGATTTCTTTGTTTTACTGGTTACTGTTTTTCCTGTCACGCAGTACATGTGGTTGGGAGTAGAAGCTTGTGGCTATGGATTGGAGTGTCAGCATGAGAAACCCTCTGCTCTTCTACCTCCATTTACTTACATGGCTTTTGTCCACAATTGAGCCTCCAGGACTGTGCCACTCTTTCACTCAAATGTCTCACTGCACACCTAGAACATTTGGGAAGTCTCTTTTCTTTCACCAGCCTGTATGTTGTGTAGCTCAGATACTCAGTCTCATCCTGTGTCAAAGCTCATAGGTTTAACCTGTACCCCTACCAGAGGGATCTTTTTCTATCTCATAGCCACAAACTACACCTCTGAATCTAACATATGTGTTGATGGAGCAGACAGAGGTTGCTTGGGACAGTTATGGCTATATCAGTTTAATCTGATCCCCACTGCTTGGAAATTAATTATATAAATAAAGGCAAATTGACTGTTTAATCCTTCCACTGTGCAGAAGGGAAATTTTTGTTCTTTCTTGGAAACTTGGCTGAGCTTGTACCTGAAGGTACCAAGGCAGGGCAAGGCACCATGGCTAAAAGCCAAGGGCCAGCCAAAGGGACTTCCTTGCTGCATGGGACTTCTGCTCAGTTCCAGTAGATCAGTTAGAACACAGTCGGTCTTACACCACCTTCTGATCTGTTTCTCAAAGAAGTATTGTGGGAAAGAAGTAGCAAAACATTCAATGAAGAAACTGAGGGAGTTGAAGAGTTTTCATACTGAGTTGGGAAGTCTGCAGACTGTCGTGAGTTCTGGGCAATGGCAATTAATGTCAGAACTGTCAGGACCACTCTCAGGGCCCTTGTGCCTGATTAACACTGTGCAACACATGCAGAGATGAACACCATTTTTTTCTAAAATAGTCATAGGCTTGGTGCTTGGAAAGAAACAGGAGCAGGAGGAAAAAAGCTCTTATGGCTGGTGGTGGAAGCTGATAGAGCTTTGAGCCAGGCCACTTAACATCTATTAATACAATTGTTTCAGATGAGTGTTGGTTTCCAAAAATGAGTAGCAGGAGTTGACTGTCTGCGAGGTAGTAGGAGCCAAAGGGGCAGCTTAGCAGGACTGAGGCTTTTCAAATCAGCAGTCTGAATATTAACTTTGTATGCAATATGAATGCAGATTTTAGACAACTTTTGTAGCAGAGTCAGATAGCAAACCCTGAGTCAGTGAGGCCAGTAAACCATCCTCTGGAACTTTTTCTTTCTCCTACCTCAGTCACTACAACCCTGGCCACCTTACCTTGTTCAACTTGGAATATGATGAGTTTCAAGGATTTCTGGAGATTCTGGGCCTTTGTGGTCAGCTCCAACCTGTATTTGGCTATGTGGTCCATTTGAGGAATGAAGGACTTCCTGTCTGCCTTGCTGCTGTCTGCAGGTACTGTAGCACTTTTCTCAACAGAAGTATCTGCTGCCTCCTCAGCCAGAACATCCATCACGACACTGAGCTTATCATACATTAAGTCACTCTAGATAGAAAGGAAGGAGGCAGGACATTGTTATGAGGGACCCATCCTTGAGAGGACAGAATGAGGAGTGGGGATGATACGATGAAGGGTAGGGAGGGGTAGAAGTTGTCCATAAATGCTGAGCATAGAAAACTGCATGTGAGAAGATGACATACTTAGAGAAAAAAGTAGGTGGACAGATGTGATGAGATAACAAAGGGTGTTAGGGGATCAAATACATATTTGTTTCTGAATGTCCCCATGCATTAATATATACAGCTGAGTCTTTCTTGTGTCAGACTGGCCTATAAAATGACATGTAATATGCAAACTCGAGGAAAGACAAACATTTCTGGATTTTCATGGGCATGCTCCTATGTATATGAATGTGTCCTTGCCTGGGTGCTTGGTGTGTGTCTTTGCATGTGTGTAGGTTTGGGGACCTACATCTGCTGCATGATTTAAGGCCTTGATTCTCAGCTCCATCACTTAATAATTTGTGATCTTTCTGTCTCCATATTCTAGGGTAGTTGTGAGGATTGAATACATTAATACATTAAAAGCAGAATAGTCCTTGACACAGAGTAAGTGCTATGTAAATGTTAGCCATTGTTGTTATAGAGGTGAATGTGAACGTATTTGTAGTGTGTATTTCTATGTACATACTTTCAGACATGTTCTGGTGTACAACCATGTGCATACCTGCTTGATGTACACTTGTGTCTAGTTGTGGGCAGATGCTTGGCATGTGCTTAGGTAGATGGCACGTGTGTATGCAGGCAGAGTGCCATCCTTCATTTAGCAAAAGATGGAAGTTGATGAGGTTGGACCTTCCTCATCAGGGAGGCTTAACCGCTGCCCCTCCTTTTTTCTTTTACAATTCCCAGTGACAAGCGCGTGCACTTTTTATTAAAAAGGGGCCCCTTGCTGCTCCACAAAGAGTATAAGACAAAAGGAATGGAAACTTACTTTCAAAATCACAGACTGTATTGCTGTATTGCTCTGTTTTATCTGACCCCAGGCCTTTACAATATCTAGCACAAAATCTTCCACGGCTGAACACAGGAATCTGGAAAGATAAGATAGATGGTACAGTGTTACATGAACCATGAGGCCCAAAGTCCTTCTCTCTAATGTCGTCAGTCCCCATCTTCCTCCTCCTCCTCCCTCTCTTTCCTCTCTCTCTCTCACCCTCTCCTCCCAGCCTTTTTCTCTCTGCATTTTTTTCTGTCCTATGGTGAAATGTGTTCCATCCCCACTTTAGTCCAGTTTCACACCACTTCCCAAGTCAAGTGCCTAAGATAATTTGACCAGTATTTCTTAGTACTAATTCTGAATTTCCAGAAAAGAGAAATCACTTGGTCCAACTTGGGTCAGGTTTTCACCCAGGGTCAATCAGCTATGTTTCAAGGGCCCAGCTAATTTAGCACAAACAATTATACTGGGAGGACTCTTCCTGTGGGAAGTTTTCATCAAAGGAGAGTGAAGTTGATTGGGCAGGAAGTCCCTAAGTCCCAGGAGGAACCAATGACCCATATATTTAAAGGGGGAATGTGTTCCTCAGATTATGAGAAAGCAGCTATAGGTAGATTCTACAGAGACCTTTCTTGATGTCAAAGATGGAAAGCAAGGTGTCTATACTATAGGGAGATATGCCATGCTCTTAAATAGGGAAAATGTTGTGTTTCCCTACTATAATCCTCTTTCCAAATCTCTGGCTTGCAATTTTGACCTTTTGGAGCAGCAGAAGCCTTGACCTCAATGTTATCCTTCTTTCCTAAACTTTCCATTCAGGGGGTTTGAGTTGGGAGAAATCTGATTTGGGAATATAAACATATACTTTCCTTGGCCTCAACACCCCCACCTATCAAAATGAGCCCCATGTCTGACCTGGGAACAGCCTCAAAGGATGAGAGCCAAAGGAAGACTGACCTGGTTGCGATGATTATCTCTGTGGGGTACTTGGCCTTCAGGATTTTGTTCAACTCAGTAGCTGCAGATTCTACGCGTTGGATGGCAGCAGCCTAGGGGCAAAAGGAGTTCTTAGCCCTGGACTCTTAGTACTATAACACAGTGTGCTGTCCATCCTCATCCCCTACAGCCTCATTATATCTTACTGACTCTACGCAACTCAAATGCCTCTCTAGAAATGATTGTGATCAAAGAATTCTTGTTGAAGGTCAACAGAGATGATCTTAGATCTATGCTCATTCTAAATATTTAGATGTATTTCATTTTCTCTTAATAATCAAGACTTCATATGAAGGAGGTACTATTTGTTTCATGTTTCAAAAGAACAAACAATCTCATATTACGTAGCTAGTAAGGAATAAAGCTAGATTCAGATCTACATCTTTTCAATTCTAGAATGTAACTTATTTAATAGTATTACTATTAATAATAACAGCATCCACTTATATAGTACTGACTATGTGCCAGGCTCTGTTCTAACCTACATGTATATGTTTTTTCATATAATCCTCATAACAACCCTATGAGATAAAGACTATTATTGTCTCCATTTTACAGAAGAGAAAGCTGAGGCACAGAGAAGGGAAAGCTGAAAAGTTGTAGAGCCAGGATTCAATTCCAGATGATCTGGCTCTTGAGTCTGTGCTCTTAATTACAACTTCTATTCCTTCTTCTCTATCACCCTTGACATTCAAACATCTACCAAGACCTTATAATTCTATTTTTTCAGTATGTCTCAAATGTGTCCACTTCTACTCATCCCTGCTACCACTTCACCAGTCCAAATTACCATCACCTCTTGCCTAGACAATTACAACATCTCCTAGCTTTTCTCCTTTCCTCTAGTCTTTTATTCCTTCAATTGTTTCTCCACATACCATGGCACTCCTCCACTTAAACCCCTTCTCTTTGATAGCAGACTGAATAGATGACTGGATATGTGCTAAAGCATGCATGGGAAAATGTTAGTAGTAGATCTGCCATTTCAACCTTCATAAATGTAGAAATTTTCATAATAATATAAGAAAAACCCCTTCTATAATTCTAATGGCTCTTAGGATGAAACTCAAACTTCCTACTGGGGTTTATCAAGCCCTTCCTGGCCTGGCCCCTGATTACTTCTCTAGCCTCATCTTTATTCATTCTCCCTGAATGCACCCTCCTTGGCCCCTATGCATTAGCCATTATGAATGTATTTCAGATTTGTGAATATTCCATGCTCTCCGTTGCCTTTGGAACAATACACGCTGTTCCATCTGTGTGGAACAGGCCTCCCCTTTCTTATTCTCCTGGTTAGCTCCCTCTGGATCTCATCTCTTCTGAAATGGCACTCCTTCTGAGTGGCTTTCCCTGATTTCCCCAGACTGAGATAAATCTTCCTGCTATGTGTTCCCAACCCCCTCTACTTCCTTATATACTAACACTCATACTACTTGATTAAAACGATTTATTTTCCCATCTCTTCAAATAGACTATGTCCTTCTTCTTTACCCACTAGCGTATACAAACAGTTCCTAGAACAATATCTCACATATGGTTGTTACTCCATAAATATTTTGAATGAATAAGTAAATGGGTGAATGAATTATATCCCCAATGCTGAACACAGTTCTTGGTAAATAACTGCTAACTGACACATCACCAACCCTCAATGATCTCATCCTCGTCCATGGACAATGCCAAAGCTTCTCTCTGGGTTTTGCCAATTATTTCACTGTGTAATAAAGATGTTGGTCTGAATTACAGCTGAACAGTGGTTACCTCAAATCGTGGTACATCCATTTCAACCTGTCCTTTTAGCAGTGGGATCTGTCTGGGAGTCTCACGGATCATCACACTCCATCTGAAATGAATTTCAAAGACAGATATTTAAGGATCTGTTTCATCACTGGTAGGAATTAATGCTTCAAAGGTGAAGACAGAAATAAAAATGTTTATGTGGTGAGGGGAGGTGGGTTGTAGGGTGTGCCCAAGCTATCTCTGGTCACCTAATCTTAAGGTATACCATAAGAGAAACCTCTGTGTCATGACTTCTATAGGCCAGTGTGATGGAAATAATTCTCTTCCCTATACAGGGTTCTCATAGAGCAGTGCTACTTAACTAGAGGTAACCACCAAGATCACCTGAGGTGCTTTTGCAGAATGCACAATCCAGGGCCCTGCCCAAGATCTACTGAAATCTTTGTGGTGGGGCCCAGGTTGATGTTTTAAAAGAGCTTCCCAGGAGATCCTTATGGGCAGCAATAAATCAAATACTCATAAATGAACCAGCATAGAAAGTCTTTTTTTTCCTTAGGAGATAGAATAATACTCTCTCTTCTCTAGATCAGTGACAATGTAAGCAAGTTATTTCTAAACTCCCCCTCCATCCCTTCTTTAGTTTCTTTGAAAATCTGATGAAATTATAGACTTTTCTCTAAGACAGAATATGCTTAAACAAATCATTGGCTCTGCAATTTGAAGAGGGTTCCCAGAACCCTTGAACTTTGTCCATGGGGCCCCTACTCTAGAATCCTTTAGTTTTTTGGTGGTTTCTTTCTTTCTTTTTTTTTTTTTTTTTTTTTTTTTTTGAGACAGGGTCTCACTCTGTTGCCCAGGCTGGAATACAGTGGCATGATCATGGCCCACTGCAGCCTTGACCTCCCAGTAGAATCCTTTAGTTTTGAAGAAGGGCTTCAATGATGTTTGAAGGACACATGGTAGACCCTGGCTTCCCAAGAGACAAGCCCCACACAACTCACAAACTGTTCTGCACTGAAGCCAGAAAGGAAATGAGGCTCTGTCTGAGAGGTTAAACTATTCCTGATTGAAATGATGTAACTGATGTGGGACAGGAACAGGCACAAGGTCCTGGTCTTTTAGCCACTTACCTGTCTAGAAATCTCACACTGGCCTGCTCCACTCTGTTGAGGATGTCCAGAGGTGACTTGCTTTTGTTCCAGAATGCACCCCAGCCCAGGACACGAGCCAGATCATTGCCAGTTCCAAGTGGGATGACTGCCAACTGACACTGCAAGAACAAAAGGAGATACCCTTTTCAGACAGTCCTACCAAGCTTCACCCATGAAAGAACCTAGAGGGAACTCTTTGGGAAGAATTATGGTCTTAAAGCCACTGGTTTTAAGGGACTTCAGATTCTGGGGAAGGTAGTGAGAGGATGTTTGCAATTGGGTGAAATTTTCCCTAAGGAGTTGGACCCCAATATTAACAACACAGAACCTACTAAGTAAAGGTAAAAGTTGCTGGAATATGTCAATATTCATGGCCATGCTTATAAAAGAGAAATATAGCTATGAATTTCTATCTGGGCTGGGCCAAGGAGGCGAAGTACCTTAGGAAACAAAACTACTGGAATGAGAAGAGCAGGGGGCTGCCTAGCAAGGAGACATGGAGGAAAGTGTCTGCCACTCGTGAGACTCAAGAAAGAAAATCAGTGGCCTCAGGAGGGGAAGGAAATTGGGGGACAAGTGCTGTCTATGACCACTTCTGTTTTGTTTGCTCTCCTCCCCTTCAACTCTTCACTTTGAAGCCTAGGGAATGGAGCACTGCTCATTCTTTCTGTCAACTTTACACAGACAGACAACCAGAAAATAGTCTAGATGAGCAGGCTTAGATTGGGAATCTACCAGTCAGGATGACTATGAAACATGTGGGAAACATATTTTACAGAGATGGAGGGTGAAGACTTCAGACTTCTTGGGATAGGCAGCTGCATACCCCTACTCTTTCTAGCAATGGCTAAACTGAGTTATCCAGGGACTTACCCTTTCATGTAATCCAAAGGCATCAATCAGAGATAAGACCCAGCTCACGCTGCCATCTCCACCACAAACCAGAATGCGAAAGCGAGCAAAGTTCTTGAACATGCACAGCCTGGAAAGACAAAGAGGAAAGGAAGTCATTTCATGAACAGCTGGGTTTTGTTACTTTTCCTACAATGTGTCACGACACAAGGATTGCTGCTTTGGCACTCTGGTAACAGACTACCTGCCTTTGTTCCCTTATCCCTTACCTTTCTGTGTATCTAAGACCATAAACAACCCCAGAGATCAGGCTTTGCCTCAACTCATCCTCTTTCTGTGCCCAGCTTTGCTCTGGAAAACACTAGTAACCTAACCAAATCCATTGGCCATTGGCCACTTGCATGGTGGCCAGTGGCCAATGGGCTCACAGGAACCAGAACTGAGCAGCCAGATGGTCCCAAAATATAACAGGTCTGTAGTGGAGATATATCTATTTGGTCCCGGGAAAGAGAGTGGCAAGAAAAGTAGATAGCAGTATCCATTTGCCTCTTTCTCCGCTTCTGGTTGAAGGATAGTTTTACTTTTCCCAACCAGAAAAGATAAAGCAAATCTGGGAGGGGCCTGAACATGTGCTTGAAGGGATTTCTGGGAGAGGGCTAAAAGTCCTCCTATCAGCCAACCCAAAAGGCTCTGTAGTTATGTGTTTCTGTTCTGACTTGAGAAAATAGACCTTTCCTGCCCAAATACAAGAACTGATTCCAAGAAGCCTATCCTAGTTTAGAATGTATAGTGGGAAGACTCCCTTACATACACATGGGGTACATGCTTACCCTGCTTCAGGTCCACCCTTCAATAGGTCAAACACTTGAGACGGGTTAAGGTATTGCTTGAATTTTCGGAGGAAGACGATCCCTTGGTGATCTCCACTTTTGGAGTTGATGAAGATGAGCAAGGGACATGAACAGGTTGATGACCAATCAAGATTCCAGAAGTCCGAAGATACTACTAATTGACCTGAAAAAGAAGAAAAAAAAAGAACAGACCCGTTGAGATGGAAATGTGACATGACTTAACATCACATTTTGCAATAACTTTTTGAGTATGAGTCTCAGTCTTTTGAGAATGAGGAGCAGAGGAAAAGTCAAGATACCACCCAGAAGGGCTTAAAAGTATTTGTCCAGCTGTGAGTGGGAGCAGGTGGGTTGAGAAGACCCATTTGTTTTAGCCTAGGTGAAAGGAAGCCTGAAGGAAATCTACTTGAGCAGATTTCATTACTGGTTTGCCTGGAAAAATCGAAGGCAGGTTTCCTCTATGGGCCAATTTCTACTCTCTGGCTAGTGCAGCTTGAAGGCATCCTAAGCCAGCTAGCCAGTCATGCACCAAATTTTTAGGACTTGCCAGGACACACAGCTACAAGGGGAATCTTGTACAAGCTGGGTCCCCTCAGTAGCATAGCTCAGAAGTAGTTACTTTTCCTGAACACATTATCCAAAAGTAGTACCCCTTTCAACAATTTTTTACTAAAGTAATATGTTGACACAATGGTAGTTAAAACACATTAATCCCTTCATTCAATAAATATGTATGGAGGGCATTCTCTGTGCCTGCTTTGCATCTTGAGACTATGGTGGTGGACAAGATAGAAATAGTCTCTGCCCTTGTGGAACTTATATTTTAATGAAGGTGACAGACCATAACAAATAATTATAAAAAAGAATTTGTCATGAAGAAAGATAAAGTAGGGAAAGGGGGTAGAGATTGGAAGGGGTGTTATTTTAGACAGAGTGGTCAGGGACAGCTTCTCTCAGGAGGTGACATTTGAGATGAAACTTGAATGAAGTGAGAGAGTGAGCAATACAGATATCTGAGGAAGAGTTTTTTTTGGGGGGGGCTAGCAGGAAGAAGAATAAGTGTCAGGACCCTGAAAAGGGAGACTATCTGGGGTGTCCGAAATATACTGTGAAGAAGAAAAAGAGCAAGGCACAGAACAATGTGCATAGTATTAAAAAGGGTGGATAATAATATCTATTTATATTTACTAGTATATACACGAAGAACTACTGGAAGGTCTTTAAAAAAATAATGGCAGTATTTAACTGTGAGTGAGGATATGGGGGCGGTAGGAGATTGAGAAGATCAGAGAAAAGATAGCAGCATGACTTTTCATTAAATATTGTGTGTATGGGTATTTCTTTTTTAAAAAAACTGAACCATGTGAATCTCTTAGCTAGAGAAGAATTAAGAAATAAGAAAAAAAGAATTATACTAATATTGTCTATAAATTAAATAGCCGTGAGGGTGTAAACTAGAGTGAGCATAGGAAGCTTCTAAATAAAGAGGAAATTCTGTAATTAAGGCAACTTGAACTTTAGCATAAAAACCTCATTTGGTCACAGATGGGAAGACGATGGGAAGTAGCCCTAGCAGGAAGGCAGTCTCAGGAGACTACAGAGGCAGCCCCATCTAGCGTTTTCCCCTGAGGAAGAGAATTTCTGAATTTGAGCAAGGCCAAGTTTATCAAGAGAATCTTGTGAACAAGGTGACAAAGATGAGTGCCACTGAGGGCTGAAATATAATAATGTTAGGAAGATTTATAACCAGGTAAACAATCCTTCCCACAAGATTGCTTTGAATAGACTGATGTTAATCATAAGGGAGTGTCCAGTATTATTCCACAATTTTAATTGACAATTCACATGGAAACATAGAAGGCTGGCTTGTGAACTTTGAAGTACTCAAAGCTGGAGGAAGAGATACTGGATGACAGAATCAAGACTGAAAAATGACCTCGACAGGCTGATCAGTCAAACTCCAGGGATGAAATTGTAAAGGGAATAAATATAAAGCTTGCCCTTTAGGCTCGAGGACATAAATTGTTCCAGAACAGGACAATATGAACTTGACTTGGCAGCATCAAGTGTGAAAAGAGCTTAGGGGATTTAGTTGACTTCAAGCTCCTGATGAGTCAACAGCCTGAAAGAACCTTTCAAAAAACGCTCATGTTTCTCTGAGCTGCATTAATACAACCACAGTGCCCTAAACAGGGAGCCAACAGTCCCAATCAAATTTATTCTGTTCACTCCACAGAAAGATGCTAAGTTGGCATAGGTTGGCTTACTGTTCTCTTCCCATACTTTTAAAATCCTCCTTTACAAATGTTAACTCATTTAACCTTCATGACACACCTGAATACAATTATCATTCTTTATTGGCAGAAAACAAATGACAGATTAATTAAGAGAGGTTAAGTAACTTGTCCAGGGGCATACATTCAATTATGGAGTGTGTTTCTGGGACTAGTAGGATCAGCAGCATCTGGGACTTGTTAGAGATGCAAATACCTGGGCCCCATGCAGATCTACTGAATCAAATGTTCTGGGGGTAGTGCCCAGAAATCCATGTTTTAACAAGCTTTTAACAAGATGCTTCTGATACAACAATCACTGCACTTCACTATTTTTCTTCCACATGAGCCGGTGATACTATCTTAGTCATTGCTCAGCACTGAGCCTTACATATAGGCAGTATTCAGTAAATGTATTAATGAGTTCATGTAACAAATCTTGACTGTGTGTATATCATATACCCAGTTCTGACTCAAGTGACAGGGGTACAGAGAGTTCACAGTCTGGGGTGGAAGACGGACACCATTATAATGTCATGTGTTAGGTACTTTGAGATATGTGTTCTTGGTTTATAGCAAAAGAAGTAATTGATTTGTTTGGGGGAGTGGGAAGAGGCCATTACAGAAGCTGTCAAACAGAGAAGACAAAATGTTTTGATTTTGAGCTGGACCCTAAAGGATGAGAGAAGGAATTTACCAAGCAGACCGGATAGGAAAAAGGGATAATTGGAAGGAATTCTCAGAAATTAGAGTCTATTGACTGAATAAATACATGTGTGAATGGATGGGTTGACTCAATGCTAGCAAGGCCTTTCTCAGAAAGTCATGAACTATATGCCTTCATGACTTCAGCTGAATGCTGAAGAAAGGATTCTCTGGCTCAGCCAGGGGACATTGAACCAGATCATCTTTAAGGTCCTTACATCACTAAGATTCTATGACTGGGAGATTCAAAAGATTCCTCTGGGATGGGACCTTCTGGTAGGAAACTTACCCGCTAAAGGGCACATGGCCACAGCCAAGAAGCCAGGAAGAATCAGGAAGATAGGGAAGTCTTGAAAGACATTTCAAAGAAGACCCACGACGAGTAATGCATGATAGAAAGAAGTGCTGGCAGAGTGAGATAAATTGGACCAAGATTGCAGATGACTAGGAGGAAAAGCTAAAAGCGAACTCATGGGGTATTGAATAAGACACCACACAAAAAGAATAGATTAGCCCATGTGCTCCTAAGTAATATTACATTATTAATGGACAGAAAAAGAAAGTAACAATGCCATTATTTGGCAGTCTACAACAAGAATAAGAACTGATATAGGATAGGAAGAAACAAATTTTTAAAACACCAGCACAAGGACAGGAAGCACAGAATAAGTTTGGCCCAGTTATAAAGGAGAGGTGGCAACCCTCTTAACACTTATTTGGGGTGATTAGTGTTATGCTGAGATGGGCCATCTGCTTAAAGACATCTTCATCAGGTCCCTGTGGGGTTGAGCAAAATGTCTCATATTCAAAACTAGGTTGATTTCACTAGCAGCCTGATTTTGCTCAGCTGACCAGTTTGCTACTTTTCCTCTTGTATCAACCACATCTTCCCCTAGTCCCTCATTCTCCTATCTAGGCAAGTATCTCTTATTTACTAAGTCATCAATCTTATCACCTCTTTGGTCAACTACCTGGTGGGTGACTCTATGTGGATAACTACTTGAGTAGATCTGAGAATAATATACCTGAGTGAATTCAGTTTTGTGTCTGTACATGTCATTATGGGGACTCATTCCATGTACTAAGGTCCAGCTATATCTGTGTTAGGGTTGGAAAAATAACTGAAAAAGTCTACGGTGGCTCTGTGTATGTGTGTGTGTGCGCATGCATATATAAGAACACGCAGATACACATGTGGTATGTCTAGTTCTAAAACTATGTCGTAATGGCTACAGGAATCTTTGCCCCCTTCTGTTCTCTAAGGAAACCATCCACTCTTCTTTCCTTGCTTCCAGCTGATGCTAGCTCTTCCCTGGCAATGAAGTGAGCAACTAGCATCTATATGGAGATAATCTGTAAGTCACTGAAATGAGGGTTCATTAATCACTCTTGGACAAGTGGATATCCCACATGTCAGAGATGGACAAATTAGAAAATTAGAGAAATATAGATTAAAATATTCCAGGAAGAATTTGAACTTTCCTCCAGTAAGTGAAATTGACCATATATAGAATGAAATGAACCATACACAAACTGAAATGTATGAGCAGTGTATCCCTTCTCTGGCTTAGTGAAATAGTAGCATGGCACTGGTAAGTATATTAGATTTCTAAATTTCTTAGTGTTAGTAAAATAGGTTAGGTCTTTTAAGCTGTGATATGTGATTTTGATATAGACAGCTCTCACTCTTTAATAATAAGTAACTGGAGAAGCAAATGAACAAGTCAATGGCAAAAAGGAGAGTCTCTCAGAAGAAGCAAAGAAAAAGTAGGGAAGAAGAGGTGAACTCAAAAGGCAAGTGCCAAAGAGTGAACCATCCCTGTGGGGTCTGCACTTTTTATTAGGCTAGGAGACTAGGTATTTAGTTGCCCAAGAAGTTGAGGGATTTAATTTTATGGTCCTTTGAGGTTATGTTTTTAGATACTTAGGGCCTTTACATCTTATCATCTATCCTCACAATAGATAGCTTCATTCCCATTTACAGATGGGGAAAGCAAAACTCAGAGAATGTAAGTGGCTAACCCAACATCATATATCTAGTAAGTGACTCAAACTCCTAATTGCCTGGCTCTTGTTTTTTTTTTTTTTTTTCCTTATGTCATGCTACCTCCGTGTCTTACTTATTCACAAAAGCTATACAAAATACCCTTCTCCTTGGCTTCTGCTTTTTTGGTTCTAGCATTGCTAGACCTCTTGATAGAAGCCTATATACAAAGTTTATTCTTGCTGCATTGATTTCATTACTACCTCCTTTCTGCTCAACTTCCTATAAATGGTTAACATTCCTAATATTTCTTATTTCCAAATGTCTCTACCATTCATTTGGCACTTATCATATGACACATTAAATTGTTCATTTTTGTTTTATATTAAGAGCCTGAATCCACAATAATCAGTAGCTCTGGCCATGCCCATGTCTTAGATCTTTCTGTAGCCTTCAGACACCTTGTGAATAGAGTTCTTAATAAATCACTAGTGTCTGGGAATTGACAAAGCATCAATGAAGAGTGCTGGCACAATGGTCATGTTAGTTTCACATTTAGGAACAATGTTGGTGTTAGTTTCCATTTTAAAAGTAACATAACCTGGCCTTCATGCATTTCTTCCTTGACCACCTGGGCACAAACTTATTTCATGAATTATCTTAGTATTTGAAAATTATGAAAAAGCTGAAATCAATTCTGATCAGTCAGAAACAATTGTGACCAAGCTACAGAGAATATGCCCACATACATATACACCAGAAAGTACAACATTCACAATATCAAAGGTAAGAGAACCATGAGCTATCTATATACACATGCACATTTCTACTTCCCAAAAATGTTTGGTTGAGGAGAATAATTTAATTGTAGCCCTTCTTCTCAGCCTTTGCACCTTCCCTCCATCCCCATTGTGCTTCTGAGGTTAAGACTTAACTACTCACCATCGCCGTTGGGATCGCTTAGAGCAGTCGGAGGAATGACTGATGAGCGATGGTTTCCAAAGCAACATTCCTTGGAAAACCGTCTTCTACAGTCATCATGCACCTGAAACGATAAGAGCAGAGAAAAAAAAGGAAGGGGGAGAGAAAAGGATACCATTGATCAGTTTTGAGTTCCAATACCAAAATTTAGATTCTTAGTATTTAATCTCCCTTTCTGAGATTTGGTGACATATCTATGCCCCTAACTCACCTGAACACCCCCATTCTACTCCAGGCCTACATTGTCCCTCAATGTGACCTCAGAACTCTGATCCTTTCAAAGGTGGCTTTCAGAAGATACCCACCTACAGGCACTGAGTAGTCACCAATCCTAAGGTACAATCTTAGTGGCCTACAGAATAGGGAATTTACTTGCAGTATAGAAGGGTTAATACTAATGATGTAATATTACACTTCAATCCTTACAATAACAGGTGTTGGATTCATTTTAAAAACGAGGATACCAAAGCTCAGAGAGGTAAAGGGTTTTGCCCAAGGTCAAATAGTTGGGAAGTCACAGAGCTGAGACTCTGCTGCCTTTCCCACAAGCGGCCATTCTTTCCAGATTTTTGACATCTTCATGTGCCACTTCCTAGAAAATTACACAGTTTGTAGGGGGGTATGAACATGGCCTCATTATTCAAACGTTGAAAAAATGCCAGAGAAGGCCGGGCGTGGTGGCTCATGCCTGTAATCCCAGCACTTTGGGAGGCTGAGGCGGGTGGATCACGAGGTCAAGAGATCGAAACCATCCTGATCAACATGGTGAAACCCCATCTCTACTAAAAATACAAAAAATTAGCTGGGCATGGTGGTGTGTGCCTGTAATCCCAGCTACTCAGGAGGCTGAGGCAGGAGAATTGCCTGAACCCAGGAGGCGGAGGTTGCGGTGAGCCGAGATCGCGCCATTGCACTCCAGCCTGGGTAACAAGAGCTAAACTCCGTCTCAAAAAAAAAAAAAAAAAAAAAAAAAAAATGCCAGAGGACAACCAGAGTCTTCTAAAAGGAAGCTTATACTTCAGTTTCTTCTTGTCTAGAAAACTCAGTTTGCGAGAAGATTCTGAAAGATTAGAAATCTAGATCAAGATCTCTCAATTTCAGCCTTACTGATATTTTGGGCCAGATGGTTCTTTGTTATGAGAGGCTGACCTGTGCATTGTAGGAGGTTCAGCAGAATCCCAGGCCTCTACCCACTATATGTCAGTAGCACTTCCCTCCACTCAGAGTTGCAAAGATAAAAAATGTCTCCATGCATTGACAAATGTCTCCTGGGGGTGCAAAATTACCCCCATTTGAGGACCACTGGCTCAGAGGCATGGTAGTGTTGTAGCTAAGAGTGTGGTCAGCTGGGCATGAAGGCTTATACTTGTAAGCCCAGCACTTTGGGAGGCCAAGGTGGGAGGATCACTTGAGCCCAGGAGTTTCAGACCAGCCTGGGCAGCATAGCAAGACTCTGTCTCTACAAAAAAATAAAAAATAAATTATCTGGGCATGGTGGCATGTGTCTGTAGTCCCAGCTAATCTGAGGAGGCTGAGGTAAGAGGAGACCATCTCACTTGAGCTCAGGAGTTCGAGGCTGCAGTGAGCTGTGATTCTGCCACTGCACTCCAGCCTGGGTGACAGAGTGAGACCCTGTCTCAAAAACAAAACAAAAAAACAAAACAAAACAAAAAAGAGCATAGTCTTTGCAGAACTATGTATAAATAAAGACTCTTGCTTACTGGCTGAATGACCTTGGACAAATCACCTTACTTTTCTGACCCTCACTTTCATCATCTGTAAAATGGGAACAATGAAACCTGGTTTAGGCTTATTGGAAGGACTAAATGAGATTATGTATATAAAGCACTCAGTATATAGTGGCAATTATAATGTGTTAATATTATTAACCATTTTTAATTAACAAAGATTACAAGTTCCTGGGAAATAGTGAATGAGAAAGGGAGAAGGTTTCTCAAAGGCAGACTCAGAACTTATTTTTTAATTGTCCATACTGCCATTAGAGAGTTCAGCTTTTCTCATTTGTTAGTAGGCCTCGCCAATTAAGAACCAACAAAGATGGTCTTAAATCTTTCTCCCAAAGGCTCCATAGCCAGATCTGGAAAGTCAGGATACTAAGCTTTATACTATGGAATCTGTTTAACCTATTTTGAGATAAAGGTTTCTTAGGTTTCTATCTATGTGTATGCATGGTCAAGCTTTAATCCACCCCTTCAAGAAGATGGGCAGAGTCTTACCGTAGAATTACACCAGAGGCAGCGGAAGTCTTGAAGTCTCTGATAACTGCCACAGCTCTCATGACATACTGCACACTGAGAGCCAACAGGCATGTTTCCTTCTGCCCATTGATGGGGCATGTTCTGCAGAAGGGTAAAAAGACACAGAAGGTAGAAGTTAGAGACATAAGGAGAAGAAGGGGCAGCTGGAATAATTGTACTATTCTATGGAGGACATTAGGTAAATGCCCCATGTTCTTTATGGTCCTGCCCTGCCTACTCCAATGCTTGTGACCAATGACAAGTAGAAGAGGGAGGTTCATTATTCTAGATAAGATGGATTGTGAACCTGGGACTTTGCTTATCTGGAGTGAGGAAGAAGTCTTCCTTCTCCTGTGTATCCTGGTGGAAGGGGAGATGGGAGAGGGCAACTGTGAGAAGACATGACTGATACTTACTACTTCATCTGCAGGCAGGAGGAGGTCATCAGTGAGAGACAAGGTATTCCACTTGCAGTCTTTGCTTGCTCTCAAAGCACATAATCTGTGAGATTTCACTTTGCACACTGTGAGAAGAGGAAAAAAAAGACGGATGTGAATCTGGTAACAGTGAAGATTCTAATTCCCTTTCCTAAGCTGCTCTGAAAATTAGAGCACCAATGTATTCTAAATAGTTCTAATGCACCTTCAGAGACCTATTTCCACCAGAATCCAGTTCCTTTTTATTCTTACCAGCTAATCTTTTTACTATCCAACTTGAATGGAAATTGATGGTTAGAATGATTTCTGTCTTAATACTTGTGATCATATAGTCCTATCCCCCCATAACCATCCCTCTATTTTAATACCCCTATGCTAGTTTCCTCCCTTTTTCTTTCCTCAGTCGGGGTTAACTTCACACCAGAGACAGTAACCTAGTGTGAGTTAATGATACTAAAGCCACATGAGTTCCTTCATCCCCATATCTACCCACTGAGCTTCACTTCCTAAAGGAATCAGAAAGGTACCTTCACAGATGATGACATCTCTAGATAAGGCAGGAATGCTCTCTCGACAAACATTGCAGTGCTGGGTCCGGTGACTGTAGCTGGAGTACCAATAGTGCATTCCAACAAGAAAAGGGTTGTTTTCTGCTGCAGGTATCTAAAATAAATAAAAGAGGAGAGAATGGAGGATGAATCACAGAGACAGATTAAAGAGGGCCAGAAAATTGGCTGCTGAGTCTAAAATGGCCTGCTGTATAGGTGTCAGAGCGTGTGAAGGGGAAGATTGAAAGTTGGAACCAATTCCTGGGACCTGGGATTTTTTTGTGTGCATTTTTGTTTGTTTTGCCAGTCATTTTAGAAAGGAAAAATAATAGAGGGGTAGATATTGGAATCGAAGCTGAAGGCAAGAGTAATGATCTTTATACTGCTTGGCCAATCACTCTATTGGCTTAGTTCAAGCAAAAATGTGTTCTGTTAGCTTTGGCCTTGGTTCTCTTTAAGTAGTAAGTAGAGGGAGGTACTAAGTTGGAAATTCAGTGATATCCAAATGTTTTAGCCAGGGAATAAAGAGAGGCAGCAAGGCTCTGACTCTGAGCTAAGAAATACTCAGTAAGGCTTTAACTCCTTCCTGGAGGTATACACTTCCCTTCCTGGCTGCCAGGTGAGCAGAGCATTGCTTTACCTGGACAACAGTTTCATCTCACGGGATTCTTTTAGGAATACCACGCTCTGACTGCCTACAGCAGTTTGCTGGTTAATCAACTTAGTTCATTCAATAATCCACTAAACAAACATTTACTGAGTAAATACTTTGTGTTTGGCACTTTTAAAAGCATTTGAGACATAGTGAACAAGACACAACCCCTGCCCACATGGAGTGGCATTCTCATTGGTGTCCTCTTTCATGGTATTGAGTTTGACATTTCTTGTTAACATGCCTTAATATTTTTTGTTAAATGCGGCATTTGTATATCATAGCCTGACTTTCATGTAGAGAAGGCACAGGGGTATACTAGCAACAGTTTTGAAACTGAAAGAAGGGAAGGGTGGGAACCAAAAAAACTCCAAGGACTCTTATGTTTTTTCTCTAATTCCTGTGTATGTCTGATTTTCTCCCTTTCTGCCTTCCCCTGAACTTTAGACATAGGCGTACACAGAGCTTTTCATTCTTCACATTATAATGAGTTGGGTGTGTAAAGGTATAACAAGACTTTAAAAAGAACTAAAATTTCTTCCTGATGCCAGTTGACAGGAGAGAGAGAGAGAGAGAGAGAGAGAGAGAGAGAGAGAGAGAGAGAGAGAGAGCTGTTGAGGGCTCTAGCATATTAAATATTCATCCTTGATCAATTTACAAGAAGTAGCCATCTAAGACATAGCCTGTACATAACCCTCTCTGATCACTCCTTCCCACTTCTAGCATGCTGGCTATGTGTTAAGCTACTGTTGATTTGACCTGGAACCTTCTGGAAAGGAAAGCTACTTTGATGAACTAAAGGCTCACATGTTCTGGGATTGCTGTGTGACTGCAATGTCTATTGTACATTAAGACACTGAAAAGCTCTAGGGTGATTAGAACAGAAGATAAGGAGTCTTGTTGGCACTCTGAGCCCCTAGAATCTTTCTACTCCCTCAAGTCATTAGATTGTAATTCTACAAGGATCTTTTTTTTTTTTTTTCCCTCCCAGTCTCCTCTCCTCCAATAATTACTAAGAACCTACTATGTATCATCTACCATGGTAGGCATTAGAGATGCAGACATGAATAAACCATAGTTGTTTCCCTCAAGGAATGTATAGTCTGCTGGAGGAAACAAATTCTAAAACAGATCATTCCTGTATAGAGTGACAAGTGAGTTATTCTAGAATGTGCAAGGTTTTACAGGACTGTATGAAAGAAATTCAGAGCTCTGCCTGGTTATAATATTAAATTTCATGAAGGAATATGTAAAATGCACATTGCTTAGGTTCAGCAGTTGAGGAGATGGAATTTATATTCCTTGTGTACATCCTATTCTGTAAGGAATATTTGATGCTTCCAACCCTGGATAAGTATGTGTGGTGATTGAATTGTGTCCCCTCAGAAATATGTTCAAGTCCTAACCCTTGGTACCTATGAATGTGACCTTATTTGGAAATAGGATTTTCACATATATAATCAAGTTAAGATGAGGTCATATTGGATTAGAATGGGCCTAATCCAATGACTGGTATCCTTGTAAGAGGAGAGGAATTTGGACACAGACACACACACAAAGAGGAGAACAGCTTGTGAAGATACAGAGCATACAGACACAGGGGAGAACACCATGTGGCAATGAAGGCAGAGATTGGAATGATGCACCTGTAAGCCAAAAAATGCCAAAGTTTGCCTGCAATCACCAGAAGCTAGGAGGAGCCAAAGAAGTATCCTCCCCTAGGGTCATCAGAGGGAGCATGGCCATGCAGATACCTTAATTTGGGACTTCTAGACCTAGAACTGTGAGACAGTAAGTTGCTGTTGGTTTTAAGCCATCCAGTTGTAGTTATTTTATTATGGCAGCCCTAGGAAACTAATACAGATTTTGGTACTGGGAAGTGGGGTGCTGCTGTAACAAATACCTAAAAATGTAGAAGTGGCTTTGGAACTGGATAATAGGTAAAGACTAGAAGAATTTTGAGACACATGCTAGAAAAAGCCTAGGTTGCCTTGAACAGAATGTTACTAAAAATATGAATGTTAAAGGTGTTTCTGGTGAGGCCTCATGTGAAAATGAGGAACATATTATTGGAAACTAAAGAAAGGTAATACTTTTATAAGGTAGCAGAGATCATGGCTGATTTTGCTCTATTATCAGGTGGAAAGTAGACCGTGTGAGCAATAAACTTGAATATTTGACTGAGGAGATTTCCAAGCAAAGTATAAGAGGTGCATCTTGGTTTCTCTTTGCTGTTTATTGTAATATGTGATAGGGAAGTGATACACTGAGGAAAGAAATTGTATTAGTCTGCTCAGGCTGCCATAAAAAGATACCATAGACTGAATGGCTTAAAAAATAGAAATCCATTTTCTCACAGTTTACAGCTGCAAAGTCCAAGATCAAGGTATCAGTCAACTCAGTTCCTGGTGAAGTCTTCCTTCCTGGATTGTAGAAGGTTGCCTTCTCACTGTGTGCTCTTGTGGCTTTTACTCAATGTGTGTATGTGGATAGAGAGAGAGAGAGAGAGAGAGAGAGAGAGAGAAATAGTATCTCTTTCTTTTCCTCTTATTATAAGGCCACCAATCCTATTGGATTAGGTCCCCACCCTATGACCACATTTAACCTTATTTGCCTTCTAAATGTCCTATCTCCAAATACAGTCCCATTAGGGGTTAGGGCTTCAACATATTAAGTTGGATGGAGGGAACACAATTTAGTCCATAATAGAACTATTGAGCAAAAAGTCACCAGAACTAGGAGATTTAGAAAATTCTCAGCCTATCTATATTGCAAAACACAAGAAAGTGTGCCCTGTAGAGGACACCAAGGGTGTGGCTGGACAAACTTTTGCTGGAGAGATTAGATGTGGGACACCTGGCTCCAATTACCCATTTCAGCAGAACACTGTCAGCTTGGACTGAACTTGGACTGAAGGGGACAGATATGGGATAAAATGAAGGAAGGTTGTCAGACTTCGGAGATTCTATAAGCATGAAACACACTGGTAAAGCGACTCAGCTGTGGACATGGGTTAGCCTTCAAGAAAATGGAAGAATGACTTCCAGAGGTAGCTCAGAGGCCAGCAAGGCTGCTGAGAGAGGCTCAGAGGGCCAGAGGTGCTGCTGCTGCACTCACAGGCCCAAAGAATGTGGGCCTCAGAATGTCTCCTTGGTTCCAGAGGGTGGAGTTGTCTCCTGGGTTCCAGAAGGTGAGGCTACCTCCTTGGTTATGCAGGGGGTTGTGGGTGGACTGACACTGCAGTGGGCTAAGAGGATAGGGTCAGAGAACAGAACATCAAGCCACAGATAATTATTCTCAGGCCTGGAAAACCTGATGGAATTTACCCTGCTGGGTTGCCAATTTTGTTTTAGACCCACAACTTTATTCCTTCCATTTTATCCCTTTCAAAATGGGAATGTCTGTCCTATATCTGTCCCAGCATTGCATTTTGGAAACATATAGCTTGTTTTCTTGGTTTCGCAGGTCCACAGATGGAGAGGACTATTGCCCAGGATGGAGCATACACAGAGTCTCACTTATACCTGATTTAGATTATTTACAAAATGATATTTTGAACTTAGATTTAATGCTGGAATGTGCTAAGGCTTTTGAGGATGTTGAGATGACAGTGAATGTATTTTGTATATTGGAAGGACATAAACTTGGGGGAACTAGAGGGTGGACTCTTGTGGATTGAATTGTGTTCCCCCACAAAGGTTATGTTCAAGTCCTAAAGTCCAGTACCTGTGACTGTGATTTTATATGGAAGTAGGGTCTTTGAAGATACAATAAATTTAAGATGAGATCATACTACATTATGGTGGGCCTCAATCCAATGACTACTATCTTTATAAAAAGAGAAATTTGAACATAGCTACATACAGAGAGGAGAACGCCATGTGAAGATACAGAGGGAACAGATACAATGGAGAATACTATGTGATAATGGAGGTAGAGATTGGAGTGATGTGGCAGCAAACTAAGGAACACCAAGAATTACCAGCAACCACCAGAGGCTAGGAAGAAGCTAAAAAAAAAAAAAAAAAAAAAAAAAAAAAAAAAAAAAAGGCCGGGTGCGGTGGCTCAGCCTGTAATCCCAGCACTTTGGGAGGCCGAGGCGGGTGGATCACGAGGTCAAGAGATCGAGACCATCCCGGTCAACACGGTGAAAGCCCGTCTCTACTAAAAATACAAAAAATTAGCTGGGCATGGTGGCGTGTGCCTGTAATCCCAGCTACTCAGGAGGCTGAGGCAGGAGAATTGCCTGAACCCAGGAGGCGGAGGTTGCGGTGAGCCGAGATCGCGCCATTGCATTCCAGCCTGGGGTAACAAGAGCGAAACTCCGTCTCAAAAAAAAAAAAAAAAAAAAAAAATTCTCCCCTAAATCTTACAGAGAGATCATGGCCCTGTTGACATGTTGATTTCAGACTTCTAGCCTCCAGGACTCTGAGAAAATAAATTTCTGTTGCTTTCAGCCACAA